ACATTCCATACTCTTCGTGATTTTTTGCATAATTGGCATTTTTATTTACATATAAACTCATTGATAAAGTAACGAAGAAATGATAAATTTATGTGTGATTGTGAGAATAAAAGGAAAAAGCTAACAAAAAAATTAAAAAAAAATCAGAGTTAAAATAAATAAAACTCTGATTGTGTTATCTGTGAAAGTCACATTATTTGCGAAGTTTATATCATTCACGAAGTTTGTGTCATTCATGTTATAATATGGATTTTATTTTATGAAACGTTAAAATTCAAAAAATTCAAGAAAAAAAAGATGATTGACAATAATCATTAGAATAATTAGTATTCCTCTTTTATTGTATTCCATTTATGTAATATCCACCTTATATAGTACTTCCCTCCAAATTTAGTACCCCTAGGTATTATTCAAAATTAGGCGTAAATTTACTTAAATAGTATGCGATACTAAATTCAGCGCTATACAGTAAATTATGTGTAGTGTAACAAATGACTATCGATTTTTGTAACTTAAGCTAAATTTTACCAAATCATATGACTGAATCAGCCGAATGTTAACAAATGGTATTAGTGCTGAATGAAATGATTTCAACTAGTGTTATATAAAAGACAAAGACTATTATATTTAAAAATTGAATTAGATCCTAAAAAAATTCAAAATATAATTGAAGATAAACCACAATTAAAAGGTTTTTTTGATGAATTAGTTAATATTTTTCTTTTATCAAATAGAAAAATTAATAATATATAAAATAGTAAAAAATCACTTGTTGGATTTTGTTATTTATTATCTGGTTTAAAAAATAAATTTAATAATTCTCTTCAATTAGAAATTGGGCTTTATTTATCTTCATGTAATACAACTTCTGAATCTATTGATATAATGGTAAAACTTGGAATTTCTGTATCTTATAAAACAGTAGAAAGATATAAAAAAAATAATTTTAATTAGATTAATCAATATTTTGAAAAAAATAAAAATAAATTATTTTGTTTTAATATTGATGATTATCATTCAATAAATAGTTTATAGAAATACAAATACAATATCTCTTTTATCTGCATATCATATGACAACATGTGTTGCTAAAACTATTGAAGGAAGTTCTCTTATATCAATAATAAAAAATAATATTTCAATCTATAATCCTAAAAATATTGAAGATTGGAAAATTAATTATTATTTAATACATAAATATTTTGATTTATTAAGTTAAAGTTATAATGTAATTAAATATAATTTACAAAATAATAATTCAATTATTATAAAGAAACTTGATAGAATAGAACTTTTAACTATTTATTCATATGATAATTTTATAAATAATATCAAAGTGATATATTAATGATAAATTATTATTTAAGTTTAGATTATTATTAAAAGTTATTGAAATGATAATAGATATTCCTTCATTAAATACTTATCTTTAAGGAAATATAATACCAATTGTTGCTAATTTTCCAGATCAAATATTTATAAGAAAAGCAATAAATTTACTTAATAAACAAAAAAAAAACAAACAATTTTAACCAAAATTTCTAATATTATTAATAACTTTATTTCAATTTTTGGTTCATTACATGTATCATTAAATATGAGAGAAAATATAATATTAATTCATTGTGATTTTTTTGAAAAATTATATAAATCAGTTTTTGGTAAAAATAAAATATTAACAAAAAAAAACAAACCTTAAAGAATTAATTTATTTTTAGAATTAGCAAATTCAGCATGAATTGAAATTGCTATAGAAATTTTTAATAAATTTGGACCAATTTGTAAAAATATTAATATCAAACATTAATAGATATATTAGATAATTTAATACCTGCAGCTTTAGATATCTATAGTATAATATTTTGATCTAGATCTTATAATCAATATATAAATACAATTTTTAGATTATAAACATTTACTTTAAGATTGAAAAGAAAAAATTATAACAAAATTCTATTGGCTTTTCTTTTAGATATTTTTTATTGAAAAAATAATAATCATTTATTTTTTGAAGCAATTCAAAATTATCTAGTTAATTTTAATGATTATTATGTAGAAAATTAGCATAGCAAAATTAGACAAAATACAAGTCCTCAACATTTTTCAAATACTATAATCTCTTAAGTATTTGTATGATTAAATATTTTTTAATACTTTAGAACATTTAAAAATTATCCTTATAAAGAATTTACTATAGATTACTTAAAATATAAAACAAGTATATTTTTAATTAACTACTTTTATTAAATCTTTAAAAATTTGGAAAAAGTAAAAAAATTAATAAGAATAAATATTATTTGGTAATATTAAATCAAAAAGTAAAATTAAAATGCTTACCTGTAGGATATCATACATCTAAACTATCATTTAATAATATTTGTGATTATTATAATCAAAAATTTAAATGTTTAGATAAAGAAAAAGTTACAATATTGATATGTAGACATGCTTTTCATTACAAATGTTATGCAAAATGAAATAATAAGTATAATTATTATTTAGAATTCTATAAAAGGGATGTTGTATTTAATATAAAATCCTATATAAAAAGATTAGAAAGAGATGATAATATTAATAATAGTTTATTAGATGATGAAATATTAGATAATAAAAATAAAGAAGAAAAAAAAAAAGAAGAAAAAATAATAGAAGAAAAAATATCAGTAGACTTTAAAATACTTTAGAATTTATAAAAACTTGGTAAAATATATTTTAATATATATATATTAATTAATAAAATCCACCTTTCATCTAAGTTTCGCTATTGTAAAGATCTTTTTAATCTTTTTTTACCCAAATGTAAAAAAAGGAACAAACAACATATTAATAAAAAAACTGCATAATAATAAATTAGTTTTTGAAAAATATTGTATCTTTTTTATTTTTTATTATTTTAAATTGATTGATATCAAATGTTACATAATATAAAAAGATCAATATTTGATTTTATCACCTTGTGATATAACAAATGTCTATTATGCTTATTAAAACTAAAGTTATATTTATATAAAATTTAAGATAAGCTTTTTCATATTGAATAGTACGAATATAATACTTTAAAAAATACAAGGTTTATATTAAAAAGATAATGCAAAAAGTAAAAATAAAAATAAAAACAGTATTATTTTTTTAAAATTTTTCTTGTAAATTACAATATTATTTTAATTAAAGTGTCTAAAATATACATGCGATATGGTGAATTAAAATTTAATGTTATTTAATGTTATTTAACATTATTTCATTAAAATATATACAATTAAATATTTAAAATTAATATCACTTAAAAGTTAAAAATATATATGAATCAATAAAAGATATAAGGTATATATATACTCATTGCTCATATTAAATAATACATAATATACATAACTAGTGATACCTGATGAAATTATCTTTCTTAATATGACGAAATTGACGAAACCAAAATGACAAAACTAGTTTTTTATTAATGATAAAATTATTTAACTTAATTGCCAAAATTATATTTAACTTGATCTAAATTTCTTGAATTAAAATATATTAAAAAATATAATAATTTTATATTTATTCATATAAAAATATTAAAGAGACGAAATTTTTGACGAAATTACAATTTTTCAAAAAAGAGTTTAGTCAAGTATCACTATACATAACTAATTTTAAATCTATGATAGAAAATCATAATCCTACATAAGATTTTATATGATCCTGTAATTTTACATAAAATTTTATAGTAATATTTCATAATTTTACGAGCTCATAACTTTACATAGGATTTTACTGTAATATTTCATAAATCTTAATCCTATAAAGGATTTTGACCATAATATTATATAAATTATACAATTGGTAATTCTACATAAAATTTTACTATAATATTTCATAAATCTTACGAAATCGTAAACTTGCGTATTTTTATAATATAATACTCTAAAATATACAAAAATTATAAATCTACAGAATATTACATTACATTTAAATTTCAGATATAATACCTGCTTGATTCATTTAGGTTAATTTCAAAAATTTTCAATAGGATATATAGCTAAAAATATTATTGATTATAGCTAATGATCTGGTTATTATAAACAATTAGTTATTCACTACTAGATTTTAAATTTATTTTATTTATTACTAGAACATTCTTATTAAATACATCATCTATTAAAAGCAAATACCACAATATAATTTAAATATAAAGTATTAAAAATAGATATTATTTTATATTTAGTTTGTTTAAGAAGATATTTAACAATTCAATAATCTTTTTAATTTTTACTAGATTTTAAATAATATTATGCTTTCTTAGACATTTGAATACTTCTCTATATCAGCTGATTGAAAGTTTAAACATTTAATAATTTTGATGAGAAATTCATTAATTATCTTAATATCTTTTAATTATATCTTTATTATCAATTATTCTAATAGTTTTTGATATTTTTCTATTTAGATATTAGAAGTTCATTATTAATTACTAATATTTTGCAAAATATTAAAGATGTTATACTTTTTATAAATTATTATTTATAAAAACATTTTAGTTACTTTCAAATAAGTATGCATTTTCTTACATTTATTACTATCTAAATGAATAAGATATTCAAAAAAAGTAAAAAAATTTTTTGATTATATTTAATAATTGTCATTTTATTATATTACTTTTTTAATTTTTTTTTTAAAAATTAGATTTTTTATTAATTTGATAAATATAGCAATTTATTCATCATCTAAATTATTTAAAATTTGAATAAATCTCTTATCAAAATCTGATTCTACATTTTTTGATTCTGAATTTTGAACATTATTTCTAATTTTAAAAAAATTGTAATTTTGTTATTATATCTTTTACAGTAGCGGTCATAAGTATTCGACCACCTGAGATCGTTCAAAATTACTATATAACTACCCCTTAAATTTTCCAGAAATATAATGTAACACAATACATGATCACCTGTAAATTTATAAGTTTCAATGATATAAAAAAAAATTTAGATGATCATCAAACTTTCGCTTGAAAAATGGAACTTTCTTTAGAGAAACGATATGAAATTGTCTTTTTACGTGAGCACCCAGCTGGTCCAAAGTTTAGTTTTAGATTTATTGCTAAGCAGGTATGTTGTAGTAAGTCTACAGTTATTTATTGGGTTAAAAGATATCATGAAAATCGGGACCTAAGTACTTCAGAAAGACTGGGGTGGTATTATGTAACATCTGCGAAACAAGATGATAAGATTGTAAAGATGGCAGAGAAAGAACATAATATAACAACCATTCAAATACAAGAAAAAATGGAAGAAAGAGGTGTTGGGATTAGTGTAGAAACAGTAAGGTGACGTCTTCATAAGTCTGGAGAAAAGTTTAGTAATGAAATTTCTAAACCTTTGCTTAAAGAAGACCATCGAAAGAAAAGGTTGCAATGGGCAAAAAAATATAAGAATTTTGATTGGAATCGAGTTGTTTTTATAGATGAGAGTACATTTCAATTATATACATCAAAAAAAAGGTTTGGCAGTTTCCTGGTAGAAAAAAAGTGTTTCGTTCTGTTAAGTATTCACCAAAAGTTTATGTTTGGGGATGTTTTTCTGCTTCTGGATTTGATAAGCTATTTTGCTTTCAGAGAAATATTAATGCTGAATTTATGTGTACTATTTATGAGCAGGGTCTTCTGGCTTCCATCTCTAAACTTTTTGGTGAAGGTAACATAGATTAGATCTTGCAAGAAGATAATGATCCAAAGCATCAATCGAAAATCGCGAAAAAATGGAAGGAAGAAATGGCATTGAGGTACTTTCTTGATCATCAATGTCTCCAGACCAAAGCCCTATAGAAAACGTTTGGAGATTAATGAAAATTAATATACAAAAAAAAATTTTGATCAATTAGAGGGTTAAAGGGAAACTTACAAAAGAATGGAACCGATTATCACCTGTACTTGCCACAAATTTGGTAGCTAGCATGAAAAGGCGTATAGCTGCACTTATAGAGTCAGATGGTGACTACACAATGTATTAATTTTAGTTAGTTGGTTATGTATTTTTTAAATAAAAAAAAATTTTTGAATTTACTTACTTGTAGCCAGAGTTAGAGCCGGTCAGATACTTATGACTGCTACTGTAAGAATTAGAAATTATTTTTTTGATTCCTTTTTCTTCTGATATTACAAAAGTAGGATCTAATTCACCAATTAGTTGACAGAATGAAGGATTTCAAACTACAAATAGTAGTTAAAGATCATTTATTATCCAATCAGTTAGAAATTGATATAGTACATATTGCTGACTTTCTTTATGTTTTTGAATTTTTACAATAGTTGAAAGAGTTGTCTGATTCTGTATAGTGAAATAAATAAATAATTTTTTATAATTTATAAAAAAAAAATAATAAATTAAATTTAAAGAATTAAAACAAAAATACTGACTTGATTTTTTTTGCTATCATTAGTTATTTCATAATTGTTTAATAAGAGGTTGATAGCATTTTCAGTTGAACCATCATTAACATAATAAGTTCTGCATTTGTTTCCGTTAGCATCCAGAACTTTGCATCTTTTAAGTTCACCTTTTTTACTTAATTTTTCTTCGATATCTACTTCTTCAAAATATGTTCAAGTCTAACTTCTTTTTTTTCAATCAACTTTTATTTTCTTATTTGGTGATTCTGGAGTTACTTATTAACCTATTATATTTATATTATTCATAATTATAATGTAATATATTATGTAATATAAAGCAGAAATACAAAAAATAGTTAGTCACGTAACTAAAGATAGTATAGCAATTGATTTCAAATTTACAAAATGTTGCAACATAAGCTAAAATTAGTTGCAACATATATAGGTTAAAACTAATTGCAACGTAAGTTGCAACATTAAAAGTTGCAACATATTAATTACAGTTTCCATCTTTACACATAACATTCCTTTGCTAATCAATCTATATATATATGTTTCTTATCAGGTCTATCCGGTTAAATCTGATAGGTGATATTTGCATTTAAATGACAATTTATTAGTCAATTTTCAATCTGGGTATCTGATAATAACAGATATCTGTTAGCAATCTGGATTAACAGATTCTGGGTCTAAACACTATTAAAAATCACAAAATTATAGAATAAAATGATCAATTGATAATTGTTTACATGAAAGATAATAGCTTTCACAACATCACTGTATAAGATCACTTTGCTTACATACCACCCTGATAACAGGTAATAGTGGTAAGTAACTTGATATATAGTGAACTGATTGAGTTTAAAACTTATATCAAAGGCTGATCTGAAATAGACAAGTGTCGCATCATCTGTAAATAGTATCTGTGAGTGTAGGATTAATGGTAAGCACTGTATGACTTGAATTAAATAATAGTCATAGGTTATAGGTGGTTGATATTACACTGTCTTCAATCATCATAGTGTTTATATCATAACTAGGGTTTGGAGGCTTGAGTTCAATTCTTAGGGTGATTTTAACATATAATAAGATAACTATAGTGTAGGCTATCATCTTAGGTTACTCTTAACTCTCTTTCCAGTTGTAGTAATGAATGTGAATGATAACTGAGTATTAATTCTCTCTACTATACAGATTTATTAGTTTGTCAGTTTACTCAGATTAGGGTTTCTGTTTGAAATTCAAATTGAATTTCAAATATTTGAAAGTTTTTTAAAAAATATTCAAACGAATATTGAAATTATTTCAAATATCAAAATTAATTTCAAATATCAAAAATCATAATTTGATTTTGATTATCAAAATATATATATTTTTTAATTTTCATTTTTTAATATTTATTTTTGGTTAATTATTTATAAAAAAAATTATAAAAAATTTCATTTTAAAATTTTTAAAAAATTTTTTATTTTTTTATTTAAAATTATAAGAATTTTTTCTTCTGATAAAATAAGTTTCTTTTGAGATTTCAAAAGATGAGTTTTTTTAGAAATAAATTTTTTGTTCTTTTAGATAGATATGTTTTCTTTCTTTCAATAGATTCTTTAAGGTTTTTTAAAGGATAAGTTTCTTTATTTTACTAATTTTTTTTTACTTCTTTAAGAAATAAATCCTTCATTTTTAAATAAATTAAGTAAATCTTTGGATTCTCTTCAAAATATATTCTTTATTAATAATACTAATTCTTTTAAAAATTTTATACATCCAATTTAAAATATAAATTAAATGTATATGAATTAAAAGCATTAAGATATTTTTATTTTAAACTGTTTAATATAAAAAAAATATATTATAAGTAAAGATGATACAGCAATTGATTTCAAATTTACAAAATGTTGCAATATAAGCTAAAATTAATTGCAACATATGTTGCAATATTATAAGTTGCAACATATATAGGTTAAAACTAATTGCAACGTAAGTTGCAACATTAA